TCGAATGCTGCCTGTGCAAATTTGGACAAAAGGTCGACACCACGAGGGTTTGGTTGGTCTTCGGGGAGACCGTAGGTTTTGATCTTCTGGATTTCGCCTGCGCGCTCATTGGATCGGGTTTGCGCAAAAAGCGTCGCTGGGAAGACAGTGTTGCTGAGACCGATACGCTGCGCAAAAAGACGAATGGGGTTCTTCTCGAGGAAGATATCTAGGGTAGGCATTTGGCCAATCTACAAACGGTGAGTATGAAATCATTTGAATGAATTCGACCCAGGAGTGGCTTACTGGTCCTGCGTAACTCAGGAAATGCTGCAGAAACGCAATGATACCATCGACATCCCTGTTCTCTTCCACAAACCCAAGACGCTTACTCCAGGTCAAGTCTCCAATAACATCGAATGCAAAATACTGCAGCCATTGGCTAAAGCTGCAGGTTTTGCCAGTGCTCGCATACAGTTCCTGGGTCTTGTCGAGGAAGACACCCATGGTGGAGCTCACTAGTGGTTCGTAATTAACCAGCGAGCTCATGGCAAAAGCACTGTTGACGCAGCGGCGATATTTGGCGTGGTATTCCTCGTCGGTAGTGGAGAATAGGGATTGCAGGCGTTGGCCCTTGGACACGGCATTCTGGACGGGGTAGAAGTTGGACTGTTGGACAAATCAGTCGGTTACTTGGAAATACAAACTGTAGAGACGTACCTTCGTCATGCCCTTGTTCAGTCCGTATATGATTTTGATAGCTCTAGGGTCCGCAAAAGATAGAACATTGGGGCCCAGTCGCACAACGTCACCATGTTCTCGGTGAAGCTTGATGATGGTCCATTGGTGGTGTCTTCCCCAAACGTCCCAAAACCTCCACCAGTTCGTATAACCCGCCAGCCGGGGGCCCGGGTACTTGTTCAGGCCCTTCCAAAACTTGTTGTTCAGAAGCCACCCTGTAACGACGGAAGCGAGTACGAGCGGCCAGTACTGGACAAGCAACGGCAGCACTTCGTTGAGAAGCATTGTGGCTTATTTCTTGCGTGTTGAAGGAGCAAGAAATTAATGAGGGACAGCTTTAGCTTTACATATCTGGGCTGGTCGCCGCCTGGTATATGAGCAGACGACAGCCGCGGGCTGCAGACTTGATTGCCGTTGCCAACATGCCAACGATCGAACGGAATCTGGAATGGTGCGTGTCGGACACGAGGCGTAATGCGTGTCGGCAGTTGAGCAACAAAGGTAGCGCCTCCAACCGTCAGCGGAGATAAAAAGCCACCCTTTCCGAGACGAGATGCATGCTGGGTTCCTCGCCTTGGCAGGGTGTAGAGATCGCGGGGGCGCGGTCCACTTTCCCGTCCACCATCGCTCTTTCCCATCTGCTGGATGCTACTTCACGCCACATTAGGCGCCGTCATCTCGATCACTTCATATGGGCGCCGTTAATCCCCTGGATCGCCTCTGACAGTCCCCGGGTTCGTCCCTTACGCATCGCAGCGGGCGTTGGTTTCCTCGGCGCGGGTGCGAGTTCGGCCTCTTCAGATCCTGCCTGGTTCTGGCTCCAACGTGCTCATTGCTCTGCGTGGCCGCGAACTGCCGACGGCGAGTACACGGCGGCTAAGCATCGTACGAGCGATAGCAGCGCTGCGGACCCAGCTGCTGGACGGCAGTTGCAGCATCACGGCCAGATATCCAATTGCCGAGCGCGAGCTGCAACGCTGAATCAGCATCCGATACGGAGCGGGCGGGCTTGCCGGAATCACTTCGGAGGAAAACGATGGTTGGGCCCATGCGTTTTGTATTGGACTTATCCTATCGAGTGAGAGATTGTTTCTGTCCTCGGGAACCTCAGGCAAACAACACTCATGGCATCAAGCACACCAAGCAGATCCTCACCATGTTGCGAAAGGAGAGAAGACTGGGCAGCATCTTCGAGCGCAAAGTGCCCCCTGCGCAACTTGCCATGTAAGCCAACTACTGCGATTCAGCGATGAGATAGATGACATGCTTACTCTATCTACCTTATAGAGGCCATCGAAACGCTCGTGAATCCTCCTTACCTGCTTTTACCGGCCGAGATTCGTCAAATCATCTGCGAATACGCCATCGGAGGAAATACTTATTTTTTTGAAAGCAAGAATCCTACTGCTGGGGTTAGGAAAACGTCCGGCATGACCTACGCAAGATACGCGGGGGATATGTACCCGTGGATCTGGATAAAGTATGATCACCGATCAAAGATCGCGCCTCTTCATCTCGTTTGCCGTCAACTATATGAAGAAACAGCCATCTTGCAGTTCAAAGTCAACACGTGGGCGTTTAGAGGATACGATGAGCAAGTTCTTGATTTCTTCTTGCTCCAGGTCTGTATGTTGGTGCAACGGAAGGCGATACAAACTGTGATGGTCGATGAAGACTACGGAGTACCTGCTTCTAGACTCGCGAATGCACTTTCCGGACTCAAGACTCTTTTTCTCTACCATGGAATTCGCGAGGAATATATCAACAAGTATCACGTGGAGATGGTAGGACCTGAGGAAAGCGCAAAAGATCGAGATAAGGGCCCCTGGAGGCTGAATCTAGTCGAGTGTTATGACATCGACCTCCAGACAAGGCTGATGATCCCGGCCAGCATGGGGTCAAATTCTGGGAGTACCTATGGTATTGAAGAGGGGAGAATTGTCCGGATCAGTTGATTTTCTTACCTTCCAGCTTTATGGTCAGAGTGATCTGTAAGCTCCGGAGCGTTCTCGCTTTTGAATCGTCTTTCCGGAGCCTCCAGAGTTATTGCTTTCGATGGTTGAGTACGGTTACCAGTGTACCTCCTTTCCCTAGCTTTCGTTTATGAAGTAATATCGTGTTCACGAGTTGACTTGGTTCGATAGCGTGTTGAAGGCATGATGGAGGGTCCGCGGCCGAGTAGTCTGCTTGGTTTCCAACTAGGGCCTATCCGAGCTCTGCGTTATGGCGAAGCCGTTGTCTCAACCCACACTAGATCAAGAGATAGCATTGTGCAGCAGCGTGTGCCTCGGCCTGTACGAAATTAATAGACGAAAAGCCGGCATCTGAAGCTTCATATCCATGAGGAGCGTGGGTGGTGTTTCGTAAAGTCTACGTGCCGCGAGCGATGTGGTGCATGATAGGCTGTGTGGAATTGGGAAGAAATCGCTAAAGCTGTGACAAGGACATAGGAGGCCTTTTGTCAATGAGGATTAGATTGAACGGATGATGAAGCAACAATAGTATGAGCTTTGCTTAGTTGAGGCTGGGACCATTCTTCAATCACAGGCAAGTCCAGTCGTCGACCACTGCCAGAGGTAGCGCGTGGTGTCAGCGAGGAAGACAGCCATGCAGCCGGAAGGGCGCGAGGGTCATGAGACGACAGAAGAAATGAAGCACTATTCTCGCATATGTGAGCATCCTGCAATCCAGAAGACCTCGTAGCGCTTTCCTGCTTTGCTAAGCGAGGACAAGTGTGAAGTCGAACGCCGCTTCCTCATTCGGCAGGATTAAGCTCAACAACCGCCCACAACCCTGGCCTCCAGTTACTCTACCTTGGCGCCCATGTAACCTCGAGCTCAAGGGCTTCTATCTGTTCTGCTCGTCTTGGCTCAATTCGCGTCGCTTACCCTTACGACCCTGCACGCGCGGAGACCTGATCGGAAACTCAATCGCATGGTGATCGATGCCCAACAGCCAGGGAAGTACACAGCGACTGCATACTCGCCGACCACTGCGCCCCGGACGAGCCACCTGACGCGCAACAACCTTTCATCCGATCTTCCTGCAGGTGAGCAATGACCGACTGGACGGGGTACTTCGTGAATGCATTCAGCGGATCTGGCACAAGAACTGCGGGACTTTTGCGAGTCCATACGATTTCCCCAGATTCTTCCCGTGTGGCGCAGGTCATTGACAAGATGCGGTCGATGTAGAATCTGGAGGCGGGAAGCTGACGGGCTTGACGGAACAGAAGTACTCGTGATCAGATCCTCCTCCAATACATGGCATGAGGCTTACGAATGACGACGGCATTGGACGAGCGAAAAATGGACATGCGGCGAAAATCAGAATCAGAATGCGGGAGGAGGACACGAAAACTTAAAGTCAAGGCATAATTACAGGAAGAAGAATTTGCAGCTCAGGTGGTTGGGCATTGAGCGCTGGCGGTCTACCTTTGCGTCGAGCGCATCGAGTCTGCTCGCAACAGTTGAGTCATCGCACTACACGTCGCCGTGCATACATCTTACGTCGGCGTATGCAACCGTGACTCCCACCAGCAGATTCTGAAACGGCCGCAAAAAGTCCTTTGGCGCGACTACCCGTTGGCCACAATGACAGCATTTGCAAAGGCACCGAAAGATGGATCGTGGAGGATAACGCCTGATGATGTGGTGTTGGAGTTGTCTCGCCGCTGGTAGCCGGCTAGTGAGCACCTGACACCGGCTTTCCTTGTTTGAAGCAGACCGCAGGACCCCTGTCGAGCTGAGGACGTCCTGAACTGGCAACGCAGACGACGCATCTTCATGCCCACGACGCACGAACAACAGTGCGTATGTGTGGGGAAACCTTTTCCAGAGAAGTCGAATCAAACAGCAACAGTCGACGAGCGATGCCCCCACAAGTGGCCCGGATGCATAGCAGTTGCAGCCGCGTCGACGGACGCTATGAGGCGCAGCTTGCCAGATCCGAGGCTTAGGTTCGGCGTCGCCCATGCAGGACTTGAAACAGCGAAGACGTGGGTTGCTATCGATAGCACCGCTCATATGGGTCGACGATAGGTGGATCCGGGGTCGGAAACGTCGTCAAGACTTGCGCAATCGCTTGCATCTCCCTCAGTAGAGGATGCTCTGTTCCAATGGCGCAGTTGCTGCGAAAGGGGAAGCGGGCGGTTGAAACGGCCAGACATGCAGCTCGCTCTACTTGCGCGGAGGGCCTCCATGACTTCCGTACGCCTCTTTTTCATAGACTAACGGAGTCTCGGCCGGCGCGAGCTATTACAAGGACAGGCAGGTCAGTCGGCCAGATAGGCGACGGCGGCGACGATGGCTGTCGTCGGATGTTGCGAGGTCGGCAAAGGCGACCCCGAGGCGGATCGTCGCCATCGCCTCGCACTGCGCCACAGCAAAAATGCCACATTCCCGGCTAACAATGCAACGGCACCTGGGATCGCGCTGCCCGTGTGCCCATTGTCTGTCGTCATTCTCGCCAGAGGTGCTTGAGCAGGATGCGCGCTCTGCTTCAGCACGCGCCCGAGCTACTCGACGAGGGCACTGGCATCTCGTCTGGACCGTGTCTGGACATCTGAAGGTCCATCGCGATCACATGAGGCCGCGTGAGAGGCTTTCCGGAGCGGACTTGACCCCTGCTCACACCCCGGCTAATCCAGATGATTGGGCCGAATGTTTCTCGCCCATTTTTAGCCCCAAGCAACGTCGTCCTGTCGTCGGTCCAAGACGACGTCCAACTCTCCCACCTTCCTCCAACACGAAAGACACAACCCCTAGCCCGCACTCTATCCGCCGTGCTCCCTTTATCCGCGTAGTCCCAATGTGGCAGCAACACCGCTGCGGTGCGCGCTCTTTTTGGATGTCGCGGAAAACTTCTGGAATCCACATCGCGGGATGCCATGCCGCGACACGACATGCTCGAGGCCCAACAACAGGCGCCCTCCCTGGAGCACAGCGCTGGCCTCGCTCGCATGCGGCGTGTGGTGCTCGCGGCGGCCGCCTGCGGGTTGCCTGCGCGCATCTGATCAGGCCCCATCTGCATGGTCCACCGTGAGCCGACCTTCAGCTGGTATGACAGTTATCGAAAAGTTTCTCAATATGCTTTTGCCATTTCCACAAGCAGGCCGCAGTGGCTCTCATCTCCGCCTGCGCATTCTAGATGGCGTTATGGCAGCCATGAGGGCATCGCAATTTTGCTCGCTTTGGCTCCACCTATCCACGCGCTTCAACGGCGTGCGCAACGCGGTCGCGGTGTCGGTCGGTCAGCTTGGATCCGACTAGACCTGCAGCTGCATCGTCGCCATATATGCACGACAAACAAGCTAGATGCGCAGCGCAGCCAAACGGGGCAGTGTGCATGATAGACCCTTGCCGAGCTCTGTGGCCGCGCCGAGTGGGCCATGATCTTCCCCTCGTCAGCGCTCTTAAGAAAGATGGCACCCTCCCCACTAGCCTTCCCTACCCTCCACCTCTCACCTCGCCATCCTCCCCTCTCATTCGCCCGTCCCTTTCTTGTCTCCTCGTCAATCCAAGGCCATCACCAAAAACGTAATCCCGCCTGAGACATCTTTTTATTCTCTTTTGTTCTTTCTTTCGTTGATACTACCGTCCCATATAATATCGCATCGTCCCGCACACAGCCACGACCAGTCATAATGCCGATCCAACTACTGCCGGCCTCGGCCGCCGCCTTTGCGCCACGCTCAACCGTCAACATCGTCCTCAGTTCCAAAGCGGAGCCGTGGTTAACACAGACGTTGAAGCGGATAAACCGAGTCAAGCGCCCGCTCAACAGTGTTCAGCAACACACACGATGTCTCACAGAGACACTGTCCGGCGCGAACGCCATCTGGTCGCTCTGCTCTATTATGGTACCAAAGGCCCCGGATTCGGAACTACGCAAGGACGTCAACCCGCTCGTAGAAGCCATCTTCAACTACCAGGTCATACATGTCGAGGCTTATGTCGTACATGTCGATATGGTTTCACAGCATGAAGTCGCATTCAAGCTCACGCCCGAAACTATCGAGGCGCTTACCGAGTACCACAAGGACATCTACTCGGTCGACGTGGCGGCCACTACATGGAACTGGCCCGAAAAGGAAGCGCAACTGAAGAAGCTCCAAGACGAGTTCGTGCAGGCGGTCAACCGCTACGTCTTCCGGACCGGCGCGCGTGCGTTGGAGGGCATGGAGGAGGAAGGTGCGGGTGAATTACTTGAGGGACGAGGTGAGGACGTCAAGAGTGCCATTATGGGCCTGTTCCACCCGCTTCTTCCTCCTCCTCCGAGGATCGTCGACGTCGTCCGACCAGCACCGCTCCTCCCAAGCTCTCCAGGCGCTTCAGGCTGGTGGCCGTCGGCGCAAATCCTGCAGTCACAGCCAGCTCCTGTCGAGTCTTGGAGAACGGTCGCATCGACCCCAAGCCCGACTATTGCTACCTGCGGTGAAACGCAACCGTCGTTCTGGAGCACAATGAGCTTGGAAGCCGTACAACTACCGTCACCGACACCGTCCTTCAGCCAGCCATTCAACACCACGAGTCAGTACTACAGTCCGCCCCAGGCAGTTGCCCCGATACCTGCGCTTCCGCTTCCCAGTGTGTTAGCCCAGCAGTGCGGGTCAAGCGCCACGCACGGCGGATACAACAGCGGATTCGGATGGGAAACTGGATTCGCACCACAGTACGCAGCATTCACGTAAGCGCTGGGTGTTGAAACTGTGGTGCTTGTCCTCCGTCGACGCCTGGGAAGCGCGGACCTGGCCAGTCCCCTCAGACTTCACTGCTCCACCAAGGTTGATGCCCACAGCCTTGCTACGCCGACACGAGACGAAATGCGATATGCACGACAGTGATGTACAACACATCACATACCAAGCATGGGACGGCGTTTCATCGACTTTAGCGACTCGTTCGAGCGGTTTCTACTCTCTTCTCTCGTACAAATTTCCTTTGATATCCTTTTTGTCGACTTGTCTGTTTTTTTAGCGAGCGTCTGTTTATCTCCTATGTCCTCTCTTTGCATCAAGCGGCCGGACCAGGTCTTTTCTTTTGGGTTGCATCTCTGGGAGGTTTGCATGTCGGGCATTTTAAGACGGATACAGCCTCACGGCTACGAGGCGGGTCTCTCGATCGGTTTTTTTTGTTTAATGTCGTATCGGACGGTTGCTACCTCTTCATTGAGCATGGCATGCCACTCATGATTGGACGCAGTCACGTTCTCGTTTCTCAGACTGGCATTGAGTGCCAGCCGGACATGCTGAGGGGCGGCGGCAAAAGTTATACGCACATCTGGCATGTTGCTGTAATTATCTGTCCTTGAGTGCAAGGTGGAAGGGTCGATGGAGGAGCGAGGTCCCGCGTCGAGACAGGACTCCGCCCGTGGCGGGTCTGCTCTCCGGATTGTGGTCTTCTGCATGCGGAACATACACACCTGACGCACGTGGGTACTTTTCTCTTCCCTCTTCTCGGATGCCGGAGCGCAAGGACATGGGTTCATCTCCTACTCTCTGGGACTGTGTCCTGGACGAAGAATCGGATGCTGGCCACAGAAGCAAGCTTCTCTATACCAAGTAACCCTAATAAAAAACGAAACATCAATACTGCAGAATATCTTCCAATGCCCGACTGCGAAGTGATGTTCGTGAAAGGCGTTGCGCGACGAGGTGATGTGAGCTCGGCGATGCCGACGTCGACGATCAGTGGCCTAAGCCGGCGCCCAAGCGCTGCACGACTCGATGCGGCTCTGCGGATCTCTTGCCAGACGGAACATCTGGGGAAGGCGCGGGCGGCAGCCAGAGGCCGGCGTTGATTGCTGCGACGTTTGCATGTTTTGGCCGCGTTGCTGCCTGTTTCACGTTGGGTGGGCTGGCGGTGTGCGGCTGTGTGTGCTCTTTGAGTGAAGGCCTCTGCCTCAGAACCGGCGCTTTGTGTTTGGCTGTCGGCCCGCAGCCTGCCACATGCGAACCTCACAATCACCAGGATTGCGACATCACACCTCCCATCCACCCGCCTTCCCGCCCTAAACATTGAACCCCACGATGCTCCTTGCGCCTGCCACGGCGAGATAGCAGAGAGCGAAGCGACTGGCGACTGGCGACCCTGCATAGCGGATACCGCACGTCCCGCCATGCCTGAGCGGAGCCCCAGCCCGTCCGCGGTACGTCCACTGGTCCTTCTGCCCGCGCCCGCCAGCCTGCCTGTGTTCCCTCGTGCAGTGTGTGGGGTTGTCGGCAGTGAATGCGTCCCGCGAGCCTGTGAATGCGCGTACTGACTCGTCTGTGACTGCAGGACTCGGGACATCGTGCGCAGACGCCGCAGTCATACATCTCGGCGTTATCAGAGGCCCTCGAGAGCCCCGTCAACCAGGACGTCTACAACCTGGCTGCCACCCTCACCACGCCCGCCGAAGACGACCCCGACGCCGACGATTCGAGCCTGCAGCACCTGCGCGCTGCCCAGGAGCACGACCACTGGCGGCTGGAGCGGTCGCGGGACCAGCTGCGGGCGCTGGAACGCGAGCATCTGGAGAACCGCGACAGGAGCGACCGCCTGCGCCGAGTGATGAATCGCCTCGGGCGCCTGCACGACGACCCGCGCGCTGCCTATGGAGACCGCGTCCCCAGCTCGAACAATCTCTACGACTGGTCGCCCGCCAATGAGGCCGACGACGAGGACGAGCTCGACCAGATCCTCGCCGAGCTGCGCCGCGAACAGCCGAACACCCACCCCGAGATCCTGCGCGTGCTGGGACGGTCACAGCTAGATTCGGAGCGGGAGCGCTCGCGAGCTGTCGTGTCGCGGCTGCTCAACTCGAACCAACCGTCGCAGCCGGCGGACAGTTCGCTGAGGTCTGCCGCAATCCTGCAGTCCGTGCGGAGACATCCACGGTTCTCTGCTCGCACACGAGATTACATTCAGCGATATAATGCTGACAGAGATTCTGCCAGCAGGTCGCCGCACACGGCCGATTGGAGAGAGCGATTCGCAGAGCGCTACGGCACGTCACCGTCGGAAGCTTCGCGCCAGGCTGCAGCCATGCAACGCATCGCTGAACGGCGGACCTCGCTAGACCAGGCGCGAGAGCAGGCGCGGGACCGCGACATGCTTGCCAGGGTGGATTCGTATCGCCGAAGCTATCTGGACCGCACGTCGGGCTCGTTGTCGACCGTTTCGCCGATGCTGGAACAGACGATCAAGTATCTGTCGCGGATACGAAACTCGACTACTCTAGAGGACAGCCTAAACTATGCTATAGACGCGGGCTTCCTCAGCAAGGACTACTTCTGCGATGAGCAGCAAGACTTCATTCTAGATCCATCCACGGTGCCTACGCCAGCCGAGTCGTCATGGTTGGCGCCTGGGGCCGTCCTGTCAGGCTGTCAACATGCCACTACCATCACATCTACCATTACTACCGCCGGTACGGGCACAAGCACAACGCTCTACCGCTTCCGCAACAACGACTCCATGACCTCTACCCTCTTTGATCCTGCCAACCGACCATGGCTGAGCCACAGCTATTCCTCCCCACGAAGCCGGACCAGCCAGACGCCGGGCCCGGAGGTAGTGACTTCGCACGCGCCTCAACAAGATAGGTGGCCAGTCAAGGTGACTATCCATTCCGTCGACTACGAGCGGATGTCGCTCTCCGCCACCATGGAAGCCTACAACGTGCCCTCGCATCCTCATCAACATCAATCTCTGCTCGGCGGCTCCGGAGACGGCACCTCGCAGGCTTTTACGCGGACTTCTTCGATAACGACATATCTGGAAGGTGAGATATTGGATTTCAATACGCACACGCTGCTCACCGAATCCTTCAAGTCGAGCGCGAGCAACGACGCCACATACTGGAGGAAACTGCCCCCTTTTCAGATGTTCACCGACGAGGAAATGGTGCAAAATTTAACGAGTCGCCGTTGGTTCAACGACGTACTGAGCAAAGATTGGATTCTCATGCGTTGGAAAGAGCGCTGCTTTGTCAAGTCTCTCAACCGCTCCACTGCCGATCCCGTCCAGCCACCCGGCTCCACGACGACTACAAGCTCCTTCTCCGCCCCTGCCGTCTCCAACCTACACAACGACTCTTTCCACTCATCCGCTCATGAGAACAGTCATCCTGGCTCGGGGAGCGCGCATTACTGGGGCGCTGGTGGCGGCGACGCGGAGCAAGGAAGTTTCGACGACTCGGGGTGTGGCCTCACTATCAGCGGGTTCTATTATGTATGCTTAAGGAGGAGTGACGGCAAGCTGGAGGGTCTATACTATGACCCGCAGAGCAGCCCATATCAGTGCTTGAAGTTGGACAGTGTGAGGGGTGGCGTATTTCCGGCCTGGGGATTCCGGTAGGAGATGAGAGGGCGGAGCCTTTGTGACGATATTCTTATTGCATACTACGGCGTTTGGGGCTCGGCCCCGTGGGTTATCATCTCGGCGTTGTGCC